CTGTAGCTAGAATGTATTGATTTTTTTTTCTCCCCCATTTTAGCTGCACCACTGAATTAGATATTGTGAAGCATCTTTCCTTGTGAAGACAGGAAAAACTGTCATGAACTTTTTCACCCTAACAATAGGGCATTTCAGACGAAAAGATTGCAATAACGATTGAAGCCTTCAAAAACAAAGCTTCTTAATGTATCCCACACTGAGTGTTCTGCCCAAAAGATAGCTGTAGATCTTGAGGAAATAGGACGGCAGATTGGGGGAGGGCAGCATGAATTTTTAGAGCTGTTTTTTTGTGTGTTAAAAAGAAAATCAATTGATGAAAACAATGCAGTCCTCTGGTGCGTTCTCAGGTTAGCACAGTGGTCTCGTCCAAGTTCTCAGCAAGCTGTTCAGTTACTGTTATAATTGGCTGATGAGTAGGTTTGGACCTAACTAGAATGCCAGAGTTCGATTTCATGATGTCCTCTGTGAAGATGTGTCATCATTTAATCCTAGCTTTAGTGACATTTTTTTTTTAAAAAAAGGAAACTCACGGGAAATCATTATGCTGTTTATATGTCTTCCATCCTGGAGAGCATTATCCTATGATATTTTAGCACTGTTTTCTAGTGCATGATGGTATCTAGCGAAGGTTAAGGCAGAACAAGTCCCTTTGCAATTTTGTGACTATATTTCACTTACTGAAGGAGAAAGGATAACTGACAATTAAGAATTCAGAATGTCACTAGGAAACATGTTCAGCTGACCAACAAATCCTCCGGGAGGATGCTTTTTATGAACCTAAGAAGATAGAAAAATTGGGATATTATGGTTTTGTTATATAATATCCTTTCTTAAGGCTGTATTGTTTCTAGTAAACATACCTAGATTTAAAAAAAAATACTCGGTATAGTTAAAATAAAAGAAGCAATGAAAACTTCACATAAACAATGATATTTTGATTTCTTTGAAGTTTATGTATTATATTCAAGTTTATGTAATCACTTCATTTTTACATGTATCTTTTTAGTTGGATCCTGACTTACCAAAATCAGACTTTCTAAAGCAGTGTTTCCAGGGTAGAATTTGAAATCCCATTCCCTTCACCTCACCCAAAGCTTTCTTTGAAATCTGGAATTTTAGAAATATTTTGGAAAGTATAGCTTGTTTGCTTTTCTATAATACCCTACCAAATTCATTCCCACTTTTCTGCCAGATTTCATCCCTAAATATTATAATTCTAACACTACTTTTTACTTATCTAAGGATTATTTAAGCATCATCATATTTTGTTTTAAAATCCAGGCTAGACAGTGTTTTATTACTGATTGGGTGATGTTGGACCAGTCACTCTCTCTCATCCCAACTCAACTAACAGCATTATTGTGAAAAAAATAGGAGGAGGAAGCAATATTAGGAAAGTTCACTGCCTCAAATTATTTATAAAAATTATAAAGGTGAGATACCATTTTTTCTCACAACTGGACTAAGGATTGACCCTCCCTTTCTCTGCTACTTTCAACAGCTGTTATTGATGCTGCTACTAATGCATTAGTGTGTGAGAGGAGGGGGTTTAATACCACAGAATGAAAAATTTGCTGATTATGAAAACAATTTTTGATGTGGAAATATTTTGTACAAGTATTTATATATGTATTTATATCTTGCTACCTCTGATGGCCAGGTTTTCAAAATAATGTATAATACAGGTAGTGCTCGACTTACAACCTTTCATTTAGTGACTGTTTAAAGTCACAACAGCACTGAAAATTGACTCCTGACCATTTTTCACACAACAGTTGCAGAATTCCCATGGTCACATGATCAAAATTCGGATCTTGGCAACTAGTTTATTTATGATGATTGCAAGATCCTGGAGCCCTGTGAACACTTTTTATAACCTTCTGACAAGTGAAATTAGGGGGGCAACAAGATTCACTTGACAACTGTATTACTAACTTAACAACTGCAGTGAATCACTTAACTACTATAGCAAGAAAAATCATAAAATGGGAAAAACTCACTTAACAACTGTCCTGCTTTGTAGCAGAAATTTAGGTCTCAATTGTGGTTGTAAATCGAGGGCGACCTATATGACAAAAAAGTTGACAAATAAATATTCCTAAAGTTTAGGAAAAGTAATTGAAATGATTGCATAAAGCAAAAAGAGACCAGCCCAAAGCATTGATATAAATATGTGAGTTGCTTTAATGGGTGTATTTTGAAAACAAAAGAGTGTTTGGAAGGGCCCAGATAAGTTATTTCTAAAATACCATTAATGTGCATGAATGTCAAACCACAACAGCCATAATGCCTAAGCATTAGCCATTCTGTCAATGGCTGCTGGGAACTGAAGTCTGAGAAAATTTGGAGTGCTTGAGTCCCCAATTCTTCTTACAGAGACAAGCCAATATCAAAATCCATAATTTCAGATCCATAATTTCAACTAAATCAAGTATTCCAAACTTTTAAAGTCTACAGTTCTTCAAAGGTTTCATCACAGCTTCCCTAGTCTCTCCTAATGCAGCTGCCAAATCACAACTTTGACTATAAAATAAAAAAGTCATTTTTATATACATAGGTAGCAATCATGTTCATTTTATTTATTTATTTATTTATTTATTATATTTTATTAATTTAATTTTTCATAATTGTTTTTCCTGATTCTTCTTGATATGACCTTTGGCATGCCATGATTTCCCTCCCCCTGCCCTGAGTTACCATAAAATTTAACCAGGGAGCTATATGCTATAATATCAGAGTTAATTAAAAACAAAATCCAAAGTTGATGCTTTTAAGTCATCTTTGGAAGACAAGAAAGGAAAACTTGAGATCCATTCATAGAATGCTGAAGTAGAATGTAGGATTAGCACTGAAGTCAGCCAATAAAAAGATATTAATAGTGACTTTGTAGCCCAGATACACTCCAATAGATCTAAATGACCTACAGAGAAAAGCTTTTCTCTCACTGTATTAAAAGTGTATTTAATTGCCTGCAAAGCTTTTTCAATATTTTCCCTCAATACCTAGATTAGTGACTATTAGGACTTTGTTTTGCTTGGGTTAACAGTCTGTATTGTTATTCAGTTCACATATCCTTTAACTTACAACCCCCATCACCCCTCCTTCTGTGAATAACTAAAATGCAAAGCAAGATGAATTTTGTAGCAGTAGAGTGCTGATTTTACAAAATGCAAATGAAAAAGACATTTAATGTAGAATTATCATGTAAAGGTGAACTGAAAGGCTTTCTAAATACCAGAAAATAAGAGTTTAAACTAGGGTGGTCAGCATATAATATGAGATGCAACTCAGCCTACCAATACCTGCGGACCTGGAAGAAGCTATCCAATGACTGTTGGCATGTCCAGATAAAGCACAGCCAACAATCTGGAGCAGCTGGCTGTATTTCAAGAACACTGGGAATGGATGGTAATAATGGAAATATATTCCAAAATTGTCTGCTTGCTTTTTAAATTTTATTTGTCTTTGGCAAACCTACCAGGTTAGCATCAGATTGGCTAACTGGCAGGGAACTGTATATACAACAGATCTGGATGGTTTCAGGTTGGGGGAAAATATATATACACTTTTCTTTCCAACTCATCGTTTTAAAACAATTACCTGATCTTCCTTAAAAAAATTAAAGCTTGGGTTTAGATCTACGCAAGAGTTAAGACATTACAAAACAATACTGATTTCATCTCTTATTTTCTTTCTTTTTTTAATTGAGATGTATTTGCTATTTTGAGCATATTTTTGTTGTGGCACCCAACCAAATAATGGCCTTATGGATTGTTGTAGTAGTGACTTAGTATAGGTGGTGTGAACAAAAGGCTCTTATTCTTTAAGCAGCAGTATAATTTGACTGCATTGATCAAGACTGCCTACTATTACTTCATTACTATTGCTCTTGACTTTGTTTTCTCGTCCAAAATCAATATGATATGCTTCAGGATAAACCTTTTTCATTGGATGATTTCCTTTCTGTGAGCATATAAATTTTAAAAAATCATTCCTCCGTTTTTTTATAAAAACATTTTTTGTAATATTTTTTGGAGGAGCAGAAATGACTTACACTGATCCTAAAACAGATAAATGATAAATGAGTATTTTGATAAATCAGTATTTAACTACTTTAGACAAGCTTGTGATAAAAATGCTGGACTAGAATCAGAGAGTATGAAGTTCTCTGCAGCTATGGAAAGTCACTGAATGACTAGGGCAGCTATTTTTCAGCCAATTTGCCTTATAACATTGCTGTGGTGAAAAATGGGAGAAAGGAGTGTTCTGACGGCCATTTTGAACTTCTGAAGAAAAGGCAAGATATAAATCTAGTACGTGCTGTATTTTGTGGAAAGAGTAAAACATATAAAGATGGTCTAAACTTCCTAATGAAAGGCTGTTTTTTCTTTCTTTTCAATATTTACTTTGTGCCAGGGCCCTTTTTCTATTATCTGTTGCAGCCCTTGAATTAAGTTGAGCTGATCTCTTGGTCTATCAGAATCTTAACTCAAACCTGTCTATCAAATTATGTATGGTAATAGTACCATTAGTAATAAAGGATAACATTTGATTGTAACATTCCCAAATTAGAAATCTGTTAGAAAATGTTTGATAAATGAGTATTTAACAACTATAGACAGCTTTAAATATATTGCTAATTGCTTCCTTATAAAATGATTGAGTTACATCATCAATTATTTCTTATGAAACATATGGATTTAATCTCCACTGAACTTTGCATTGTCACTTGGACCGGTGATCTTGCATCTTGGTGTTAGAGAAGAATCTGTGTGTTGTATGCTGATCTATCAAATCAAACACTTGTAAAGACACACTAAATCTTTCATTAATAAAGCCAGCTAGACTCCCAGATAATCAGAAGACTTTTCCCTGGCTGCTGTGATGGATGAATGTCTTTCAGTTTCCACTAGCAAAATGACTACTGGATGTAATTGTATTAAACTAAGTGCATTATTATTATTGTTGTTGTTGTTATTATTATTATTATTTTATAGAGTATTGTTTTAGAAAATGAAGAGCTTCCCAAGATGTTTCTAGATTTTCTCAACGTTCGTCATTTTCCTTCTCTCCCAAAAGCAGAAAGTTGTGGGTAAGAATTTTAACCAAACAGTTCAAAATACAACAAAATACAATAAATTTAAATTTCCCTTTATTAATTAAAATTTTATTCACAATTTGTCTCAAAAATGTCAGGCTATTTCCTATATGGCACTTAAAGAAATTCTTCAGTGATTCTATTTTGCATATAAAACAAGAAAATTCTTATTTAATGTGTTTTTGGCATAACCATGCTGAGACAAAGAATTTGACTTATATCTAAGCATTTAATATAATTTTGCATTAGTCTGATTCAGTAATTGATCCAGGTTTAGAACCTCTGCTGACAATGCAAGTCCCTTCTTTAGAAAGCTTTCATTTATTTCAGTAGAAGGAGCTTATGTATATCTATATTCTTTGGAAAAAATACCATTTTACTGTACATACTAAAAATCCTTTGGGACATTTGAACATACATGACTTCTGAAATAGTAATGAAATGACACTAAAGAAATTAGGTGCATAGGGTTAAACAGTTATTATCAAAAAATGGAAAACAGTTGGCATTAAAATAGAAATCATTTTAAAAATATTTACATTAGAATAATTTAAAAATAGTTTGGATAGCTGCTGGGATGTCTTTGGGGAAAGGATCATAAAAGTTCAGGTGGCAGCCACAACATGCAATTGAGCCTCTTTTTTATGTGGATTTTGGACACCCTTGGACGGCTGGTTACAGGAAGGCGTAAGGCTGTGCTAAAATCTGTTTTAAAGAGAGAAAGTTTCACCATTTCCTTTTGTGGAATATATATTTTAAATTTATATATTCTAATATTTTAACAAATTATATTCCAGTTCTTTTGAAGAAACAGAGTCTGAAGAATCAAGGTAAGACATTGGTTATGATATATTCTTAAGAAGTATTTTTATATGTATTATATAATTAATGTGAGATAATTAAGAAAAAGATCTGTGCATTGCAGCAGATATGAACATATACCCTTTTTATTTTTCATTTTTAACAAGCAGCGTATTGACAAAGATTTTAGGAGCCGCTATTTTGTATTGTTCTTTTGAATTGAAAAGGATTTTAAACTGCTTACCGTATATACTCGAGTATAAGTCGACCCGAATATAAGCCGAGGCACCTAATTTTAC